AGGTCGCAATCGGGTACCCGATACCCTACCCGATACCCGGCCGGGTACGGGTAGCCAGGTATCGGGTACAGGTACCCGTTTGCGACCCTGGTGCGGCCGGGTACGGGTAAGGAATCAAAACCCGTTTGCGACCTCTGGAACAAACCTACAGCAAACTGCATGAACGGGAACAAGAGTGCAGAGCGCCCCCCAAGTGTTTTTGAACGCAGCCAGTAGGAGGCGGCACGTCCACACGCTCAGACATGCAGGAAAACCTCACAGGCCCCACCCCCCGACTCATCCGACCCCCAAGGAGCGCCTCCGCCTCAACCCTTTCAGAAACGGTGCCGCAGCTCCATTGGGACGCTTGAATTTGGCGCGGCAGGAAAGCGGAAATTCCCAGAGAAAACCCGCCATGCGTACGCGGCGGGGGTTTGCACCAACCCGAGATGGATTCACAAACCCACTTTGCTGTACTGCCACATCCTGGCCGGGGGGGGGTTGAGAGTATCACAAATGCGTGTGATCCACCACCCACTCCCTCGACGGCGCTGGGTGGGTCCCACAGGCGTTCGCCGCGCCGCCCCAGACATCGGAACGTCACCGGTGGGATTTTTCCGCTTGCGAAACGTTGGCCCAGACATGCCCGCCCGTGGCTTCGCAACGGCCTCCTTTTCAACGCAAGCGACGTCTCTTCCGAGATTCGAGGGTCCACCCGCTTGCGCTGCCATCTCCTGGGCACCTCGCAGCGCTGGCCCTGCGACATCCGGTCATCCCAAGCAAGTCTCCCTTCCAGTCACGAGCACGGGCCAAAGCCCGCTTAGCCCCTCGCGAGATTTGGTAGAATTTCGTTCCAGGTTTATAACCACAGCTTGAGGTGTGTGTCCCCCCCCCGCCCGCCCGTCGTCCCGGTCGCCGTCCTCCCCCCGGCCCCCCCAGGTGGTTTTTGTGCCGGGTCGTGGCTGCCGCTCGACTTCAAATTCCTGAATTTCCCGTGGGGAGACCCGCGCCGAGCGATTGCTGGGGTCCCCCTCCTCGGCTGCCTCGGCCCAGCGACGTCGGGTTTCCACCTTGCGACGTGCAAACATCCCGGGGCGTCGTCAGAAGGCGGGAACATCTCGCGCAAGTGGAACGGGGGCGGGAGACCACGTGTAGACCTGGGTGTCTTCGAGTCGTGCAATGTTCGTTAGGCAATAATACGGCATCGTTCAGAATGGTGACAAACCGGGATTTTTATTGGTAGGAACCACCTGGTTCCACCAGGCCACAGGGGATTATTGTGTCCGTCCGTCCGTCGTGCATCGAAAAATGGGAGGGGTGGGGGTGGGTGAAGAGGGGAGGGTGGGGAGAGGCTGGGTGGGGAGGGGCTGGTCACCCCGTGGTGCCCTTATAAAACTCAACGTTTAACCTACTCACGCCGGCTTGTGCCCGCTCTCACAGTCGGCCATATTTGCGGAAGACACCACGCCGCCGTTGACCCTGGCCATTGACCGAGCAACCCAACGCTCCTAACAGCTCCCTCCGCAGGAATGTGTTAATGTCCCGAAAGGACCGTTGCCCCCCGGCGTCCTCTCTCCGCGAGATATACTGAGAAGCCGGTTCACGCTTTCTTCTGTCCGCTCTCCTGCAACTGACGTCGGCAACGCCCTCGCTGTTTCCGGCACCTCCCCCCCTCCCCCGTGTGCAGGACGCGGCCGCCAGGGTTGTGGCCCCGTACCGTCCACACACAACTGGGCACGTAGCCCCCCCGCCCACTCTCGCCCCTCTTCACGGGCAAATTTGGCTGTGACGGTCCCACCTGATGACGGAGACTTGTGTTGCCTCCGAAACGTCGTGATTTTATTATTTTATTTTTATAAATTTTAATTTCATTTTTTACCTACGTTACTTTACCGAAAGAACTGAGAGTATGAATCCTTGCAGTCACAAAAGCTTCAAATCTAGAATCACTCGAGGAGCTACAAGGCCCTTGAGTGGTGACACTTCCTCGTGAGATGTTAACTACCTCGCCTGGTACGCAGGAGGTCGTGGGTTCGATCCCGACCCTGGCGCCTGCTGCTGTACATTTGGATTTTTCTCCGGGTCCTCCGATTTTTCTCTCCACATTTAGAATCAACGTGGCTTTATAGATTTATTTGGCTGCTGTGAATTTCCACGCGATGATGATGATAAGCCACTTTGTCAGTTGCAACAGCCAGGCCGCTCCTGAAAAAAAGATCTACATCGCTCAGTGGGGCCTTAGGGACCCGTCCATTTAGTACGCACGCAAAAATCTGTCAAAACTTGACCCCCCCCCCCCCCACTTGCGTACGTACGCCTGACGCACCCCCCCCCCCCAAATCCTATAGAATGGCCGATATTTAATCCACGCAGAAACGATCAAGGATTAATAATATTGACGTGTTTAAGCAAACAGATAGTCCACTATCTAACTCATTTGAAGGCCAATGTAGACAATTATCGAGGCCACCCCCCCCCCCCCCCCACTGTCCTCGCGTACGTACTAAATGGATGGCCCCTTTCCCGGTAAAATAAAAAATAGCTCGCGGTTTAGTTTCATGTTCACCATCTCCATCTGGTTCCGGCATCTGCCGGCCGCTGTGCGTGCCAACGTGGGGCCTTCTGCTCTCGATGGGTGACCTGGGCCCCCCCCCTCAAGCTGTTGAGTTCACTTCCCCCCCCAACCCAGATATTCGGACCGCGACAATTCTCTCGGCTTATTCACATCCCCCCGCCCTAAAGGATACATCGCTTCTCAAAGACCTCTTCTTCTTGGTTCTTTCGGTAAAGTCACGTAGAATGAAAATAATAAAATAATAAAAATAAAACATCACAGCAAGGAACGCAATGGGAGCGCGATGTTAACTCCCTTGTCTGGTATGCAGCTAGTGGGTTCGATCCCAAACCTGACGATGCCTGCTGTATATTTGGAGTTTGCGTGTCTCTCTCTCTCTCATCATCATCACGGTGGCTAGATGTTAACTACCTCGCCTGGTACACAGGAGGTCGTGGGTTCGATCCCAAACCTGACGATGCCTGCTGTATATTTGGAGTTTGCGTGTCTCTCTCTCTCTCATCATCATCACGGTGGCTAGATGTTAACTACCTCGCCTGGTACACAGGAGGTCGTGGGTTCGATCCCAAACCTGACGATGCCTGCTGTATATTTGGAGTTTGTGTGTCTCTCTCTCTCATCATCATCATCACGGTGGCTAGGAGATGTTAACTACCTCGCCTGGTACACAGGAGGTCGTGGGTTCGATCCCAAACCTGACGATGCTGCTGTATATTTGGAGTTTGCGTGTCTCTCTCTCTCATCATCATCATCATCACGGTGGCTAGGAGATGTTAACTACCTCGCCTGGTACACAGGAGGTCGTGGGTTCGATCCCAAACCTGACGATGCCTGCTGTATATTTGGAGTTTGCGTGTCTCTCTCTCTCATCATCATCACGATGGCAAGGAGATGTTAACTACCTCGCCTGGTGTACAGGAGGTCGTGGGTTCGATCCCAAACCTGACGATGCCTGCTGTATATTTGGAGTTTGCGTCTCTCTCTCTTCTCCCCGTGGTCGCGTGGATTTTTCTCCGGGTCCTCCGGTTTTTCACTCCAAAAATTTCCACATGCTCATAAGCCACTTCGTTGAGCTACCATTTGCCGGGGTCGCTTCTGAAAAAATAAGCGACACAGCTCAGTGCGGCCTTACCTGAGTAAAATAAAGTTAAATAGTTGTCAGCAATTTTCTTTGACGGCGTGGCGACCTTCGCCGTGACGCCCAGCGCAAGCTTCTCGCCAACGCCGCACCGCCCCTGGCTCGCCCGGCCTTGGCGCGAGCCCCGCGCGATTTATCGCCGAATATTTCTCACCCGACGGCTGCGAACGTAGCGGTGGCGGAAATTACCGACGACGCCGAGTTTGTGATCTTTGCGCAAGCGCGCACAGGCAGGCGCCATTTTCTCTCTCCCCACCCCGCCCCCCACCGCCTCTCTCCGTTATGACATTAATATTTTTCCCGCAATCGGCCGCCGCTCTCTGCGCCGATTTGCCGCCCGCCCCCCCCCCGCCGCGGAATCGACGGGAAATCGCGGTCTTCAGAGGACTCGTGGCGCGTGGATTACGAACACGGCACATTTATATTTTAATGGCGTACAAGAAGAAGCAAGGCGGCCTCCAACTGTGCTGGGATTTTGGCGAGGCCTCGCCTCGCTTTGTAGCGCCGATGGCGGTCTGTCGGCGCGGCGGAAGCGAGGATGCTCGTCCGTGCTTCGCGTTCGCTGCACGTCGCACGCCAGATGCTCCCAGAACGTTCCCCCCGTTGGCGGTGGGGCCCACCAAAAGACGGGAACCCTGGCCCGCGCGCGCGGATCCGCGCCGGCCGCAGCGGCCGACGAGTCTCAAGAGCGACGACTCGTGGAGGAAGGGGAGCGGCGAGGAGTGGGGGGTGGGTTAAGTGACATTTTTCATATTTTTTTGGGTGGTCGTACGCCGCTTCGGATTTCTCGCCGACGCGGGGAATCTGCGGACGAGCCCCGGAGGTCCCTGCGGCCTGCAGAGAGGGCCTGCGACAACCCTGCCCCGTGGCCATCAACGGGCAGGGGGGCGGGAGGGGTCTCAGGATGAGGCATTGGCAGAGCGCGGTGGCGCCTGATGTTGCTTGGTTTTTTTATCCTGGGGGGGGGGGGGGCGGTGATATTAATGAACGCAATGGAAAATGTTAACGTTGCGTGCCGCTAATCTGCAGGCGTCGTGCGAAGGGCCTGTTTGGCGTGGGGTCTGGCAAAGCCTGATTTGTCAATGTCGCGGTGGTGCGGGAGTCACGAAGAGCGGCGTGACAAAATGAAAGTGGGGAGATAAAAACACATCCCCCCCCCGCCACGAAATTAAAAGCGTGGGCCCCCTGCCAGCAGAGGGACGAGGAATATCGATAATCCGCAAAGTGTCTGCTGCCAAGCGCAACGTGAAAACAACGCGGCCTCCAGGGCAGCAGCAGCGGCAGCAGCAGGGAAGGCCGGATGGGCGAGAGCGCCAGGGGGCAAAGGCTGTGGACCAGGGCTCACAGAAGAGGTGGGTGACATGCGCGGGACACAGGTGGGCACCCAGCACACCCAGCACACCCAGCACAACCAGCACACCCAACACAACCAGCACAACCAGCACACCCAGCACAACCAACACACCGCCAGTCACACCCAGCACACCACCAGTCACACCCAGCACACCCAGCACAACCAACACAACCAACACAACCAACACAACCAACACAACCAGCGCAACCAGCACAACCAGCGCAACCAACACAACCAACACACCCAACACAACCAACACAACCAGCGCAACCAACACAACTAACACAACCAACACACCCAACACACGCAGCACAACCAACACAACCAGCACACCGACCAGTCACACCCAGCACACCCAACACACCCAAAACAACCAAGACGCCCACCACACTGACGCGGAACACCGACCATGCGCACACCCTGCACACCCAACACACCCAGCGTACCCAGCACAGTGACGCGGCACACGATGTAAATCTGTCAAAACGGAGAGAGGCAGCAGCAATGGCTCAGCCACATGGCACTCCGCTGCTGGATGAGATGCGTGAGTGGGTCGTCACACTGTGGGGCTCACCAAAACGCTAATTAATTCTTCAAGGCGAGCTCAGAGGTGCACTGCACACTGGGTAATCTGGAACGCTAACAGGAATGAAGTACAAGCAGGTGGCGTGAAGGAGGTGGAGTGAAGGAGGTGGAGTGAAGGAAGAGCAGGTGGGGTGGAGGAGGTGGAGTGGAGGTGGTGGAGTGGGAGTGAAGGAGGTGGAGTGAAGGAGTAGCAGGTGGAATGAACAATGTGAAGGAGGAGGAGGTGGAGTGAAGGATGTGAAGGAGTAGCAGGTGGTGCAGTGGAGCGCTGTGCGCGTGCTGTGCGCTGCGAGGCGGCTGTCTGGAATCCCCCGTTCGTTCGTCGTCTCAACGTCGCTGCTTTGATTTCCTTCCCCTCGGAATTTGTTTCATGGCTCCCTTCAAACGGAAGGGAACAAACGAGAGACTTAATTGGCTCTGCGGCAACACACGAGGCGCGCGAAGGCTGTCAGCCGTGAGCGGTGTGGTGTGAGCTGTGTGTGTGTAGTGTGTGAGCGATGTGGTGTGTGCGGTGTGTGTGTGTAGTGTGTGAGTGATGTGGTGTGTGAGCCGTGTGGTGTGGTGTGTGCGGTGTGTGTGAGCTGTGTGTGTGTGAGCTGTGTGTGGTGTGAGCTGTGTGTGTGTGAGCTGTGTGTGTGTGTAGTGTGCGAGTGATGTGGTGTGTGAGCGGTGTGTGTGGTGTGTGCTGTGTGTGTGAGCTGTGTGTGTGTGTGTGCGGTGTGCGAGCGGTGTGGTGTGTAAGCTGTGTGTGTGAGCTGTGTGTGTGGTGTGAGCGGTGTGTGTGTGAGCTGTGTGTGTGGTGTGAGCGGTGTGTGTGGTGTGAGCGGTGTGTGTGAGCTGTATGTGGTGTGAGCCGTGTGCTCCGTACTCAATCCATATTGTGCCCCCCACACCAAGTCACGATTGGCCAGGGAGGGGACCCCCACAATGCCCTCGGGCCCATGAGTCAAGCGTGGCAGTGGGGGGCTCGTCGTCAGGGCCGCATTATCCAATAGGCCACAGTAGGCACTGTGTGGCCTAGGGCCTTCTCACCCACCCACCCACCCACTCACCCACCCACCCACCCACTCACCCACTCACCCACCCACTCACCCACCCACTCACCCACTCACCCACCCACCCACTCACCCACCCACCCACTCACCCACCCACCCACTCACCCACCCACCCACTCACCCACCCACCCACTCACCCACCCACCCACTCACCCACCCACCCACTCACCCACCCACCCACCCACCCACTCACCCACCCACTCACCCACCCACCCACTCACCCACCCACCCACCCACTCACCCACCCACTCACCCACCCACTCACCGACCCACTCACCCACCCACCCACCCACTCACCCACCCACCCACCCACTCACCCACGCACCCACTCACCCAAAAACCCACTCACCCACCCACGCATCCACTCACTCACCCACCCACCCACTCACCCACCCACCCACTCACCCACCCACCCACTCACCCACCCACCCACTCACCCACCCACTCACTCACTTACTTACCCACCCACCCACTCACTCAGCTCACTCACCCACCCACTCACTCACCCACCCACTCACCCACTCACTCACCCACTCACCCACCCACTCATTCACTCACCCACTCACTCACCCACCCATTCACTCACCCACTCACTCACCCACCCACTCACTCACTCACCCACCCACTCACCCACCCACTCACTCACCCACCCATTCACTCACCCACTCACTCACCCACTCACTCACCCACCCACTCACCCATTCACTCACCCACTCACTCACCCACTCACTCACCCACCCACTCACCCACTCACTCACCCACTCACTCACTCACCCACCCATTCACTCACCCACTCACTCACCCACTCACTCACCCACCCACTCACCCACTCACTCACTCACTCACCCACTCACCTACCCACCCACTCACTCACCCACCCACTCATTGGCACCAAGACGAGGCGATCAAGAAGGCTGCTGCTGTCTCTGTCGTAGGCCAATCAGTTTCTAAGACCATGGCGTAGTGAGTAACACGATTAGCAGAGCCAAGTTTGTTTGGGTGGTTTACCACAAGTGCCGGTGCAGATTTGATGCCTACTCCTTGGTTTTATTCGGTAAAGCAACGTAGGTAAAAATAAAATAAAACCACTAAATTCAATCACGTTTCTGGCGCAACACAAGCGTCCGTCATCATCGTGATTTAATTTAGTTTTTTATTTTTATTAAATTTTTGACTTGACCGAATAAAACCCAAGGAGTATGGATTCTTGCAGTCACCAAAACTTCAAATCTAGAATTTGATGCCTTGCAAAAGGCTTTTTGAGCATCTTAACACAACTCCTGTTTTCGTGCTAGAAAGGTTTAAGCCTATTTCTTATTTTTTTTCACACTCGTTTGTGTTTTTTGCGTGCAGCATTATGAGTGGTCATAAATCCGGCCTGTCCCCTCTGGTATCGCCACAGAAAATAAAAAAGCGACGAGTCCATCAGCTAATGGAACTCTATCACTCACTTCGCATGCGGTTAGATTTAACTTGAATACGCGATCCACCATGAAGCTATATATGACCCAACATTTACCCCGATTTAACCCTATAATTCCCCAATATATTATATATGAACATTTACCCTGATTTAACCTTATAATTCCACAATGTATATATTATATATGACCAACATTTACCCTGATTTAACCCTATAATTCCACAATATATTATATATGAACATTTACCCGATTTAACCCTACAATTACCCAATATATGTATTTAAATGATGCAAACAACTTAACGTAACTATCCGCCACGGATTATTAAATGTTAACTAAACTATAATTAGCAAATGTTACGTTACACAATAATTCGTGCACAACACAACGAACGCACGCCGTGCGTTGCTGTACTAGGCCACACTCGGGCTGTGCCACGTGCGAGAAAAACTAGGCCCCGATCGCCATCCACCCGAATCGTCATTCAAACAACTTTGTTGAATCTGCACCATGAAAAGTGAATTTAACACGCAGGCTTTGATGTAAGATTGAGAAAATTATTTTATTTTTATTATTTCCATTGTACGTTACTTTACCGAAAGAACCAAGAAGAATTGAGTGGTTTAGTGAACTCCGTTGGGTGTCGCCACTCTAGTAAATGTTGCAGGTTCCACGTTGCTCTGTAAAACTAAACATCGTTACCCAAATTCCTCGACAAATACACATTTTGGCTTCACCAACTCCGCGGCGTGCTGCGTCCTCACGGATGGCGACGAATTCTAATTCAAGTGTCCGGGCTTCGCGTGCGCCAACGTACTCACCTCTCGGCACACCACGTGACTCCGAGCTGTGAGCACACGTGACCGTCTGGCACACCACGTGACTCCGAGCTGTGAGCACACGTGACCGTCTGGTACACCACGTGACCCAGGATTGTGAGCCCCACGTGTCCGTCTGGCACACCACGTGAGCTAGGATTGTGAGCCCACGTGTCCGTCTGGCACACCACGTGACACGTTCAGTAGTTTAGTACTGGTAGGAACCTCCTGGTTACACCAGCCCACAGGGGATTATTGTGTCCGTCCGTCGTGCATTCAACAATGTGAGGGGTGGAGCTGGGTGCAGAGGGGAGGGTGGGGAGGGGCTGGGTGGGGAGGCAGGGGCTGGGTGGGGAGGGGCTGGGTGGGGAGGGGAGGATGGGGAGGGGCTGGGTGGGGAGGGTGGGGCTGGGTGGGGGGTGGAAGGGGTGGGGCTGGGTGGGGAGGAGCTGGTCACCCCGTGGTGCCCTTATAAAACTCAACGTTTAACCTACTCACGCCGGCTTGTGCCCGCCCTCACAGTCGGGCATATTTGCGGAATACACCACGCCGCCGTTGACCCTGCAGGCCATTGACCGAGCAACCCAACGTTCCTACCAGCTCCCTCCGCAGGACAATGTGTTTTAATAGCGAGCCATCGCTCTATACCCCGCGAGAACATTATTGTGTTGTTAGTATTTGTTCTGAGATTCATCATTGATAATTATTAGGGGGTGAGATTGCGTGAGTAAAAATGTGTGTCGTAAACCCGAAACGGTCATTTAATAAAGTTGTTAAAGTTGTATGTACTGCATTCAGAACTTCTTTCGCACCGTACGTAGCCAAATTAAACACAAAGAGCAGTTATTCATTAGTTTTCACTCTAGATTTAAAAAGTGAATAGCTCCAGTGGGTTCCTAATGTCGGAATGAAGAACGTTCCAGACGGCAGCAGAATCGCATCTTAAACTTAACGTGATCTAACCCCCCAAAAAAACAATTATGGATCATCTGCTTGGTTCTTTCGGTAAAGTCACGTAGAAGGGAAATAATACAATAATACAAATAAAACATAATAAAATAACTCTCAGGACGTTTCGGCCACAACGCAAGCAGCCGTCCTCAGGTGAAGAACAGG